CAATACAGAGCAAACGAACAAGTTACAGCCATATGGGTTTTGCATTTTGAAAGTGATTGTTGTTGCGCTCAGAATAGTTTGCATTGAGAAGTATTTTTAATGATAGAACCCTGGTAAATGCATTAAAGAAGATTCTTGTCCACAAAGGCTCCTGTTGCTCCTGGAGCTTCAGCAGCAGGAGGGGTGAGCATGGGAGCATTCCCATCTATAATCTGACCACTAGATATCACCAAATATTGTCATTCCTTCACACTTCTAATGGATCTGAGTGTTGAAAACAAATGAGAGGGGGTGTAATCTTCAGATTTACATCTGTGAAAATTCTGAAGAAAAGAAACATCATACAACCATTATCAAATCTCTCAATCCTTAACACATCCTCCCCCAACACTAATGACACCCACATATTAAAACTGTGGCCAAGGGCTATTCGTTTTCCTCAACAAATCTAGTTATGAGAACACATCCCTTATGTGTCCTGCAATCATTTATTATCAATCTGAAGAGCTTCAGGGGGAAACAAGGAATTAGTTTAGGTTGGTAATGCCACAGACAGAGATTCTGAAAGCAATTGGTCAAAAACAAAGAAAAAAAAATGACAAAAGATTAAAGACATGTGGAGGAAAATTTAATTTTAGAATTTTAGATTTATAATCGTTTACGCTATTAAAACTTAAACTCAAGTACAATTCAAACATAATCCTTTAGTTGTAAAATTGAAGAAGTCCAATACCACTTTAGATTAAGAAGAAACAATGTGATAAAAAAGGAAAAAGGTTGGTCTGATAGATGAATAAGAAAACATGAAATTCCCAGAATGTGAGCAGCCGTGTGACTTTCTTGAAGTGATTGTTCTCTGAGAAAAATTCTGGCAATGAGAGCCTCATTTATAAGTCTGGTAATCTAAAACTCCAGAAACTCTGCAGAGAAAATGCCTCTGTTTGAAAAATGTGTCATTACAGTGATATTTGTCATAATCATGCATCATTAATAAATAATGGTGGGTGATTTGTTTAAGCTTCATGACAATTTCTTACCTGCAGGCTCTACCACACACACACACACACACACATTTACACACATTCACACACCCTAGACACAGCTTGCAGTTTCTGAGGCTATGGCCTGGTGCTCCTACAGTTATCCTCAGCTACCCCCCCATTTTAATTGTCCCATTTCAAACATTTTCTCTGAGTGGTCATCAGTCACAGGTCTATGGGGGTTGATCTATGAGTCTGAGCTGTAATCGTCTCTGCTTTGCTCTTCAGGCACAACATCACTTATGAGAGACACACTTAACGGCAATTAATCACGCTGGATCACACCCCGCTGACTCTCCCCTTCTCAAACACACACAACCACACACTTTTATTCTGCTGTTTTCAAGACATCGAGGTGTGTATTTTCATGAAAACATACACAGAGTAGATGACCAAAACATTGTGAAACACTTTTCCTTTGGTTGGACTGTGATCCGCCTCCTCTGAACCTCATGCCTCATTAAAACCAGAAAACTTTCTGTAAGATGTAATAAAACATGTTTGTCTGATAGAAATTTGAAGCTTCTCTAAGATGTTATTAGCTTGTCATGAAGCAGACTGAAATTTACCTTCTTTATTTCCTGCTAAAGAAACTGGAGCATTAACAAGAAGATCTCTTTTTTTTTTCTTTATGATTATTTATAATGTCTGCAAATGCTGTTGTGGGGTAGCTATTGGACAAGGCGATGATTATTTTTTACATTTATCCTAGCCTAGACCAACAGTTGGAAGTATGTTGTGGTAAGGTGTGTTAAAAGACTGTTGGTTGAGTTCTTCCTGATGGTTCAGTTGAGGGATAGGAGATATCACTTGGTCCACAGGGGGCACCAAAACCGTCATTTTCCAGAAGTTTCTCACAGGAGCTTTAACACTCACTGATATTCCAAACCTAGCTTATATAGCAGCTAGTTTGGCTGTCCAGACAATTACTCAAGACACTTTGTGTTAGCCTGGCTGGGCTAATCCTGTTGCGTGAATCACTTGATATGCCTTCCCACCAGTGGTGTCTAGGTTGTTTTGTTTTAGATAACCAGGCTGCTCTGAATGTGCAGAATCACATTCTGATAGAAACTAACAGGAGCAAACTGGCCGATCAGGCAAAGAGCCGTACATTTACAATAATAGAGCTTATATAAGACTCTAGTGTCTTTGTGGTTGATTACAATGGCAAGTTTACAAATAAACTGTTTCCCCTCTTTATTTTTGTAAGGATGCTGACGTTAGCCTGTGCTGAAAATGTTTGTGTTAATAAAAAATCCAGTTTTCTCCTAATGTTTCCAAAAGTCTAATTAGAGGGGAATAATAACCCTTAATAAACAGTTCATTTATCCACATATGTGCTATATGAAGAGTGCGCTGCACATGCAAGCATTTTTAATGATCACCCCAGTCGGTCATTGATGCCCCCATGTTTTTGAAGTTACCAATTCGGTGCTAAATGATCTTCCTGCTGTGTTTGTTTGTGCTGTTTGTCGGCTGTCGCACATCACCAGTTGCTGAAGCTAAATCATCAACAGGCTGCACTCATCTCCTTCAGCTGAAAATAGACACTCTAGATTGCCCTGGCTGTCGATAATCATCAATAGTTGGATTGGATCAACGATAAACAGCTGAATAGCCCCTGTAACAGTATTCTTAAGGCTTGTGGTGGAAAAGCTGCATTGTTCAGCTCACATTTGACCTCAGCTTCACCATAACTAGGGACAATATAAGGTAAATGTACAGAAACTAAACAGCTATTTGAATTAGCTGAAACTAGTTGCTTCAACCTTTAAAAGACAGTGGGACAGTGAGTCTCAAAGTTGTCTAGGTTTAGAAAGAACTTGTTTTATCTTATCTTATTTAATCTATAGATCTGATTTTGAATACAACCACACTAGAAACCTGAACTGAGTATTCATAGTTGGTGATAAACAGGGTGTTCGGCCTGAACTGACACCCAAGCCTGTTTAGCTTTCATTAAAACAACTGATTTCCAGAAAACGCTCTACTTTGGCAGAGTTGTAGGAAAACAGAGCTGCTCAAGTGCAAACAGTCTTGGCTTAGAAGTGTCAAACACACTTCTTAGTCTCTGAACAAAAAACCTGTTTGAGAGTGCTACTCCCTTGATTTAAACCTGCCCTGAGTCTGTCGCATGCCACCTTGCACCTGCCTCACAGTCTGTAGGGCAGGCTTGGGTTCCAGCTGGACTTTAACATGACACACACTTCAGTAACTCTCCTGTCTACTGCTCTTTTTTTTGTATTCTGTAGTTTCCATCTGCTGTTCAGTTTACTCTCCTCCTCGACCCCCTCCGCTCTGGTTCTCTTTCGCTCTCCTTCTCCCTCTGTGTCTGTAATTGGTCATTTAAATGAAAAAGCCTCAAATTGGGGGATTAGAGGTGCATGTCTCACTCGTCCTCTCTCTCTCTCTCTCTTTCTGTGTGTGAGCGAAAGAGAGACAGGCAGTCCCATGGTGATAGGGTAGACACTCTCAGAGGGATGTCCTTAAGAACAAAAGCATCTGGAAGAGGCCTCATTCGCTCTCTCGGTTACCGTGGTTACGGGCTGGCAGCTTGTGTCTGTGTTTGTATAGCGTTTGAGTATGTAATGCATGTGTTCACTCTGTTATACGGCCATGAAGTCAAGAAAAAAATCCCTTATTTGAAGATTTATGATAGAAATACTGTCTTCATTCCAGGTATGAGGTCAAGAATGAATTGAAGGTCATCTATTCCCCCCCAGATTTCCAAATGTTAGTCAATGAAAGACTCTCGAACTTAAAACGACTGCCTGAGTGTGTATTTGTGTGCGTCTGTGTGCACAAACCCGTGTGTTTACATGTGTATAGACAGGCCGGCTGGCAAGCAACTGTCACCACGTGGCAACAGCCAACCACGCTTCACTTCTGGCTGCGCCAAGCTCTCCAATTACAGAAGCCGACTCTGCCAAAACCCCCTCTATTCCTCTCAATAGATGGGATGACTGGGCTGCATCCCCTCTCTCACACACACACATACACACTTTCATTAACACACAGACACCCTCCCTTCTTCTCGTGGTGCACCTGCCTCCCTGCTCTCCAGGCCAGCTCAACTCCTATCAAAGGCGCTGAGCTCTTTTCTTCCAGAAAGCTAATCCAACACCTGTCTCCAGGCTTTATACTGGGAATAGAGGAGTGTGTGCAGCATGAGTGCGAATGCAGGACTACAGTGTGTGTCTGACAGTAAGAGTGGAGGGGAGAGTGTGAGATGGTTTTGAGAGAGTGAGACAGGTTTTGTTTCTGCAAGATCAAGAGAGAAAAAAAAAGGAAAATAGTGTGTGGCTTATTGTGTTGAGGATTTGAGAATGGACATATGGAGACTACAGGGCAGACTGTACTCTTTTCAGTGGTAATGGACTATCAAAGGGCATTTTGGGAATAGATGGGGTTTTATTTTGCAGGGGGTCAGATTAGTAGGAACCAGGAGAATAAGAGAGCTTTCATTGCAGAGTGAATAATACCCACTGTCACTGTTGAATGTCTGCTTTTTGGCAGAGACTGAAGAGATACTGTAAAAGTTCCAGACACATTATGCAACAAATAATATCACACAAAAGGCATATTACAGGCTTAAAAAACTGCAAACACAAAGACCAGACTCTGAAGTTATAGTCTATCCCCACATCTCTATTGAAGGGATTCACTTGTCACATGAGATTTGTTTAGTAACCATTAAAGTCGTGTGTTTTCATGACATTATTTTGCTCGAGGCGGATTTTAATCTCACACTTGGAATCGTGTTACTTTTCATGTCATACGGGAACTCAACAGTAATTGGTCCCAAATCTCGGCCCTGAAAACCATCATGATAAGTGATGCATGCTGCTCCGAGTGCAGAACATGGATGGTGCGCTGGCTCTTATTGCTCTATAAACATGGGTAGTCGTCAAAATCTTTTCGCCATTTTTTTGCAGACTTTAATTTAACAGGATGACTCACATCAGGCCCCTTCGAAGATTCGCCTCCAGCAGCAGGGGTCTCTCAAATTGGAAATTGGAGGTAAAATAAATCCAAGATTGCTTCCCTCCCTGTAGAGTCCCGAAAATGGCTGCAGGGGAGATATTAGAGAGAGACAGAGAGAGAGAGAGGGCTGAGGAGGAGAGTTAGATGGATAGAAAGGTGGGGTTGAGAAGGAAAAGGGGAGAGAAAGAGGAAGAGACTGTCAAGAAAGGAAATAAACAGAAGAAGAGAGAGAGAAATGGAGAGAATTGAAAAAAAAAGAAGAAGACGGTTAATGGGGCTTTATTCACTTTAGCCATCGGGGCTTGAAATAGTCATTTTACCGGCAAAAGGTTCTGAGATCTCTGATGTGAGTGTGTCTGTGAGAGTGTGTTCATCCCAGTGTACATGCATGACAGTGGGTGCATGTCCGTTCATGCAGATGTGTCATGGATTTCACAGCATGTGGCCATGCTCATGAGTTTCTATTATGTTATAGTACAATCTCGCCATCGTTAGGGCCCGAGTGATGATTGGCTACACATAACTGCAGCATGCCAAAGTCGCAGGAACATGCCACTGAAAATAAAGGTGAATTGGAATCAGACGACAAATGCTGCAGCAGCTGATCAGTCACACTATGTTACACAGTCTGAGCACTTTTTCCCCTCTTGAACCAACATGAACTTGTCCTTACATGAAAGCATCTGCTAGATTATAATCTATTTGTGTTACTAGGTCAAGTCTCAGAGTTAGCAAGAAGCATGTCTAATTGATTGGTCTCAAATATTGAAGATAAACTCACAGCCATGTGATATGAAATTAGTGTCCGTGGGTTGTCTGATATGAAGGCTCTGATGTGTATGGGATCCTGTCAGGTTATTTCACCCAGAATTATGCTTGACACGAGTGCTAAAACTTGTTTTTTAAACATTAAGAACACTTAATGTCGAGCGCCATGATAGCTATTAGGCACACTCCAAAATCCAGTCGTCAAAGTCAGCCCTTGATCATTTGTGAGTAGTTTGAAATGTTGAATATGGTAATGAGGCCTCTCTGGAGCGGCAATTAGATTTGCTTTAAAAGAAACCTAAAAACCTGCTCCCTGTTTTCTGCCTGTTTAACAAGAACTATATCTGTGCCCCTGTTGCAAAATATTGCCCAGTGCTTGCATGTGGTGGGTTTGGTTGGGTCTTTCAAAGGGGTTGTGCGCACAGAAACATATTCAGTAGAAAACGATAAATTGCTGTTGCCTTTTGGCTGTTCTTTAACATAGAAAGAGCATTTTGAACACTGACAACACAAACTTTTTTAAACTGGGTTCCTGGGGGGAATCTTTTGAAAATACCACCCCTTCTGTCGCTGGGCAAACTGGCAATACACAGATCCTGTGAAAATGGTGAATTCACAGCTCTGTTTTCGCACACATTTACATCCCCAGTCAAATAGTTTGTACTCATTCCTTTGTTGAGGAGCACTCTGTTAAAAATTCCATCAATCATTTTGCTCATTCAGCTTTATTTTATATAGAATATTTCTTTCAACTACTCCCCCCCTATTTGCTTTTACTGAAGTTTAACAACAACTGTACATACTTTTGTAACTCAGTTACATACTGTTTTTTTAACTCTGATTTTCTATCATCAAATTTACTCTGTTGAACCTTTCAATAAATTAATTTCACTACATTCAGCTTTAGAACATATATCAAAAGTTTGCAGACATGATGCTTGATTCTGACTGAGACCACAGAGTTTGTCCTAAAGAAGTAACTAAATAAGAACCTGTGTGGGTTCTTCTGATAAAATTAACAAAGTCTGTTAAAAGCAAAAATACATTTCTGCCTTGTGGGCTTTTGTAAACAACCGAAATTTCTTATAAATCTTCAAAAAGTCTTTAAAAACTTGGAAAAAGAAAATTATTTGAAATCAATCTGCAGATTAGTCTCAGGTAAACTTTTGTGCAACAGGCCCATTCAAGTGTCCTAGTTTTGTTGATCTCATACATTTGTTTTGATGACAGATCTATATGTGACCCTGCTCTCTAGCTCTTATATTTCCAGACTGTCCATTTGCATCTTATAACCCGAAACAATTTAGCACTGGTTCCCAAACTTCTCTGACCCAAATACAAACCATTCACACACACATTAATTCTTTTCTCTGCCAAGAGCACACACTTCTACTCTTTTCTCTTCCCTCCACAAACACACATACACACACATTTAGTCACTTCACACACTATTATGTTTATCCTGCCCTTGCAAACGCAACCAGTCACATTTTGCTGAGTGCCTTAGGTAATTTATCCGTACTTTTCCATTGCAATGAGATTATAACTGTGTCATCCGGTACAGGCTAAGCAGAGCTGGTGTAACTGGAAGCATGATGAAAAAGGACAACTGGGTCTTTTTCGCACTCTCTCACACTCACACACAGACACAGACGCGCGCACACACATACGCACACACACGCACCAGCCAGGCTGTTAAACTCATATCAGCAGAGGCTCACTGGATTAGCATATCTGGGTGAGATAAAGAAGCAGACGATGGTTACTTAACTTTGACTTAATGTCCCCCATCTGCCTCTTTCTATCTCCTGCTCCTGCTGTCTGACTGTCTTTGTCATTCCTTCTGTCTGAATAACTGAATAGCTTCTTATTCTCGGCCCGTGCTCATTCTGTCTCATTTTGTGACTAATTGTCTTAGTTTCTGTCTTTCTCCGGGTTCCTCTATGTCGCTCTGTTTCTTACCATTTTTCCGCTCTCCGATCCTGCATTTGGCGCATGATGATATCAATGAAAGCACATCGGTATGACAATAAATTTCTTATCATATTGCATCCACCACAAGGCTGGGGATTATCTATTTGTGCATTAAACTGGCCTGTCTCTCAGCGCACACCACTGACACTGCAAATCAAGGACATCTACCGGAAAGTAAATTTACAAAGTCCACCTGCAAACATAGACACAGCAGACACACATGCAACAAACACATCAGATTAGACACACTAACAGACGAAGCCCATGCAGACACACATGCTCAGCACACACAGATCCAGGGATAAACAAAGTTTATACCCCATGCTCAAGAAATGTCACGGGTATGTACATGAGATAGAGGACCATGACATTTTATTCCCATTTTTGGAATTTTGGATTATCCAGATAAGGATGAGATGGAAAACGTTGCATGGTGTCTAAACAGCATATCAGCATGGTTTAAATGGGATATTTCTTAGTCCCCTGGCCTCCGTGTGCTTATAAATACCAATTGGTTTTTTTAAGGTTATGTACTGCATTTATTTTTCAGGCAGTCTGCTACATAATTCAGTCTACACAACTTGTATCGAAGTGATTTCAGGGTATGACAGGAAATGGACATGGAGAAAACTGTCTACCATTTGTTTGGGGTTCTAGGACATACAATTTTGTTCTAATTTTTTATGGGTATGAATAGTCAGTTTGTGGGGATGTTTTCCTTGGCAATGGAGGATGAATTGTTTTACTATTTATCCACAGGAGTCGGTTTTTGGTTTAGTGAAAGTGACATCTTTGAAGCTATACATGATAAGCAAAGTACAAATGGTACCATTTCCCACTGTGCTCGTCCATCACCTTACCTGACTTTTTAAGGTTTTACTTGCATTGCTTGGAGGGTTTAGTCATATAACATCACACCCATCATAGCCTAATGATACATCAGTATTAGAAAGCCCAAGTCAGCGCAGAGTTAACCTCCCTGATTGCCTGATTTGGACAGACTTTGCCTCTATTAGGGCTAGACATAACCAATCACCAGAGATAATAAAATCCGCCCCTGTTACATTCTAGGATTTCACCTCATGTACTACCTGAATCACTGTGATCCATGGACAAAAATGTTCCATTTGAATCAATGGCAGTTCAAAATGTCACAGGCATACATAATCATAAGGTTGACCCTGCAGTGATGGTTAAGAAACCAACTGCAATGAAACCTATGAATCTCCATTTTGGTGTAAGTTAGTGTTTTCATTTGTCAGAGCCTAATGGTGCCATTAGGCAGCTCATTGGCATTTGCTGCCCCACACAATGAATTCATGCATAGAGCTGATTATCCCAAAAGAGGACACACGTATACCAGTGCCCCACGTAAACATACGCATAGACCCTGTAATACATTTGGCTCTGCTCTGCAGGCATAATGATAATTTATTTAGTTCACTGTCACCTGTCAGTGTAATTGAGATTTGCTTGCTGCTGACCACCCATACCGTCTGTCCGACTCAGTCCCCAGGGTAAACTACTGATTGTGGATGCAGCCTGATACAGTAATTCAAATAGATAGCTTCTTATTAAAAAAGGGTATACAGGCATGTTCTGTACATGCATACTATAATGTGTTACCAGGCATACACTAATGACTTTGGATGTTGCAATGACAGAATAATTTCACTGGAAAGCTGCAGAGAAAAATAGGCATGCATGCGCATGATTAAATCAGTATAAATAATGACGATAAAATACATACCACATACACCTGTGCATACATAGGTGAAGGAGGCAATGGTACAACTTTATATTCATGCTGGATAGTTGCAGTCATCACAGCTTACACACAAACAAACTTTTTGCAAGTAGGGTAAAATCTCAGTGGTGTTATTTAGTTGCAGGAAAAACAGAAAAGCATCTCATGTTAAATATTGAAGAAATATACACGCTCGAAGTAAGCATGCTCTCTGTCTTGGCTTCTGGTATGCAGTTAGATATTGAGCAAACATGAGTACCACCTTCTTTGCATCTCCTACTTCCTTGCTACTTCCCTGTAAGATCAGCATACGTCCCTTTTTTTCTTTCTTCTTCTTTCATTTTTCCTTACCCTCCATCACCTCTTCTCTCCTTCTTTAATTTACCTCAATGACGGATCCCTAACACGCCTAAGATAATAAGATACTCCCACCGGCCTGCGACTCATTCCCCAGCATCCATCACTCCCTGAGTCACATTACTGCCCTTTACAAGCACCAGGATGTTTTTCTCCTTAATTGTAGCCGTATACATACCTCACCCCCCGGTAATAATAAATGGTCTTGTCCTCCATTATGGCCATTAGGGAACTCACACTGAGAATAGCATGCCGCCCACAGTGAGGAGGGCTTGCTTGGCGTCAGGGTGTTGTAGCCAAGGAGTGGAAAAATAATGTCCCTGGAAACACGTGTTAAGGGTTTTCTGTATCTTTACTAGGGTGGTGCTGCAGATATGATCTCGCTCTTTCTCGCTCTCTTTTCCTATCTTGCTTTGTCTCAGTCTGGCTGTTCCAGACAAACACACATAAAGAGAACAGAAACAGCAGGCTGGACTGGGGAAGAGCAAAGAAAAGACTCAAGTCTCGAGGGATTGAGCAACATTATACGTCTGCAAGCAGATGTCTCAGACAGCCAGCCAATTTCTATTCAGGATTATGACAGAACCCACCCAGGCCAGGAGATGGCAGTATGTTCCCATCCCATTGCAAACATCCTGCTGTATACTGTATTTATACAGGTTGCAGGTCGTTTCAACCAAAATAAAACATTCCAAATAAGATGCACGGTGGGGCTTGAATGAAAAGGTAGAGGTTGAATGAGTAGCAGTCTAAAAGCTTTTCTCTGTTCTGGCATTTATATATCGTTGGCATGCAAACATTTTGAAATGTCAAAACAATTAACAAATTACAGAAAATGTAATGCCTGCTCGTACGTTGTGGTGATGCATCCCAGATTGAGAAATAACAGCTTTTACCTTTTTGCTTCTCATTTTTTGAGTGAGCATCAAGTCAGTCAAAAATGTTATTTAAAAAGCTGAAAACACACAGTAGGGTGCAGCTTTTAGTCTTTTCTCATTTCGTCAGCACATTACAAACATGATGGTCCTGAGTGCTGACATTACTTTTACTCGAAGTTATTGCTGTTTTCCTTCTCTGCAAGTGCAGTTGGTGGAAATTTATGAATGAGGCGGCTGTGAGTAGCGTAGTAACAGCAGACGTGTGCAGTGTCTTCACTCTCCCACTGAAAATGAACTCTGGTGTTGTCGTGAGGTAGAAACTGGTGATGTCATCCTCTCCTGTGAAGAGCAAACAGGTGCAGATGAGGATGTGGATTCAAGGAGCATTGTGTTGCACTCATTGGTTCGTGATAACACTTCTGTTGGATAGATCTTGTCAAATTACAAAGTGTGTTTAATTGCGGAGGCAGCGGCTGACAATAATTTCACAAACAAATGGCAATCATGAACCTGAACCACGTTTAATCGTTTATCCAGCAAATTTTATCCAAAATAAGGCCATTAAGGGCCATGTGTTGCTGCTGTTGTTGTTCATAATAATAATAATTTTATTGACAATGCACCAAAGTTACACAGTGCTCAAAAAAAAAGTTGAGAAAAAATGTTAAAGTTATAAATAAAGGTGGCATCTCTAAGCCCCAGGACGCAAAAGTTTTTGGTGATGTTTTGAAAGCGGACACCAAATTTACTAATATGAGATCAAGTGGAACAACAAAGTGCCCACCTGTGTCATATCTCCAACACATTTAAAACCAAAAAACTAAGACATGTCAACAGTCAACGGTGCTGAAAGTACCCACACTTTTTTTTTTTTAAGTACGAGTTACAGATTTAGAGCGGCTGCTAATGCTACACTGTGATTTCCTTCAATTGTTTTGGCACATTTCTGTGAAGTTTCATGTAGTAAAAGCAACAGTGAAACATAACATAACAGAACATGTTTAAAAAGAAAAAAATATATGGTTCCTGCAAAGGGAGAACTTTTACAACGTAGTAACAGTAGTGGGAAGTGCTCTGAACTGAGATCCTAGGTGCAGCACGCACAGAAAAATGCTGTTAATGGACACAGGCCCTTATGGTGTTTCTTTCTTGGTTCTAAAAGAACATCAGTATATTGGATTGATAATAATTTGCTTGATATTTATCCTTTTTTCCCATGTTCAGAAAGTCAATTTCTGAGCACTTATTTGCTAAGTTTGTTTGTGTATTCTTAGTGAGATTTTCCCTAAAAGCATTACAGGTGGCTGGTGATCTGTTGCTTTTGGGCTTGTCCTTTGAAAAAAATGGATTAGTTGTTTCAGTTTAACCCAGTAAGAATTAAAAGATACTCCTCGACTGTTTGGTGAAAAGTCAATCACAAAACTGTCTTTGATTTAATCTAAACTGGATTTCATGTGTTTTTTGTTTCTTTTTTTCTTAAAATTACAATTTCTGACCAATATTTTTTCAATACAAGACTCTTTCTAAAATCCAAAATACATAACTTGGTGTCGTGTCCTTGTCCCATTTTCCCTTAACAACAGCCCTACTTTCTACACAGATTGATCTCATGTGTTACACTCAGACATTTCATCTCTCTCTCAGCTGTCTGCTGTCATGTCCATCGCTGCATGTCCCTGATACCAACAGGCCAATTTACAGATGGCGACACGAGAAACAGACAGGGAAATCATTACAGACAGATTCATAAATATCGGCTATTCTGTTTCTTTTAATGGTCAGGAGTCAGAAGTTTAAGGTATGGGAGTCCTGAAGCTAAAAGACTCAAGGATAGATCAATGTCAGCCGTCAGGGGGAATGAAAGCCAGTCTGGTGGAAAAAGGGGGAAGAGGGAAGGAGCTTCAGGCACTGAAAAGTCATATCATAGAGTCGTCAGGGTGGGCTGTGGTGGTTTCAAATCATGAATTCTTTAATGTACTAAGTCCAAATGGTCCCCTGTGCCCCCACAGTGCCTTGCCTGGCAGTCTGAAAATAATTGAGGACTTGGGTTTGAGTGAAGGGAGGGGCGAGCGAAGAGAGGGAGTGAGCAGACGGGACAGGAGGCAGGGGTAGAATGAGAGGGTGAATAAATGACAGAGAGAGAGGGATGGAGTCTTTGCTCTTTTCAAAAATTACCTTACCTCTACACTTACACAGCTCTCTTGTGACTCAGGGGCCGTCATTTGTTCTGTCCTCCTGCCCCCTTGTATCACTCACTCTGATGATGAAGCTCTGGTGGAAGGTGGAAGGTAATCTAGTGGCATTTCAGGGAATGGACCTCAGAGGAATACTTCTTTCATCTGAGGTCATTAATCGCAACGTCCAATCAGCGCACTCGTAGATCAATAGCACAGTTGCGTGCTGGAAATGAAGGCATGAAAAGTGATGCTGAAGTATAAAACATGTCATATATGTTCTCCATCAGCAAGTTTACAGCTGGCTGGGTCAGGGACTTGGTGCTGTGGCCTTTAAGATCATCATGAAGGAGCTGATCTGGAGGTTTGGTCCTCACCGCGTGATTAAAGACTCTAAACTGCTTGCATGCCAACTTCTGATAAGCTTTAGTTGGAAATCCTTTTAGGGTTTTTCTTTGTGAATGTGTGAGTAATTTTCATATCCAGCTTTGCAGCTTCTTTGGAGGATCAGATTTTGAAAATTCTGTCCCTGAACAGAGTGTAATGGCATTTGTTTAATAATGAAAACGGCTGCAAGGCTGCAGTAGTAAAACCACAGCTCTAAAACCAAGGTTAGAAACATTGCTCTAGGCAGAAATCCTCGATCAGTGCTGTTGGGGAACCTTGATAATTGCCTTTCCCTGTTTCTCAGTTCACTGAGTACTGGCCACTGACTCTCTTAGCTGGTTGGGTGTTCATTAGAAGTCCTCATTCAGTAGTTAGAAGGGATATGAGTTCTCAGCCAGCCCATTAAAGGCCAAATGTCACCAATTTAACTGTGTGCAAGGCTCATAAAAGAAGTCATGCATGCTATTGATGTTCAGTACCTTTCCATTCTTCATAACGAGCTGCACAGTGCAGCACAGAGCTGTAGTGAGTAGAATGACTATCCTTAACTTTGAACAGTCTGATAATGAGTGTGTCTTTTCCATTACAATTGAATATCTGTGTTATGTTTTAAGAATTATTCTAACTTCTTTTTTGGGAACAAATATCTCACCAGTTAATATCTCTAAAGCTCTTTCAATCATTCTTGGTCAGCCACTAAAGCATAAAAATAGCAACACATACTGGATACCCAAATGTGAATGCTGTTATTGATTTATTGATGTTATTTTTTAACAGCACTTTATTTTCATATTTTATTTGTTTAAACTTGCGGTATCAACTGGCATGTCATGTTTTCATTAGGGGATGAGTGTGACACATAAATAATCTATAGGTCTATCTTTGCAAACCCTATTAAAATCCAAATGACAGTGTTTACAGCTATCCCCCTGGGTTTAAAACTAAAGCCTACTTTCCCATGCAGGAAAATCCACAGGAATTGATGAGGGAATCAATAAAAAATAAGATGGATGTGAAAATAGATTATGATATTGGTATCAATGCATTCATATAAATTTCCAAGCCTTCAACATTGGCAAAATTATGAGTATTGAAGATTGTGAATCCAAATAAAGGTGGTAAAGACATGTTTTTGCAAGTTTGGGGTCTTCAAACAAATTCAGAACAAATCTGTTACAATTTCTCGCAAGGGGAACTTTTTTTTTGCATGAAACTTTATCATTTTTCAGTCTTGTGGCATGGCAGCATCATTACAGCCATAGGATCACCAAAGTCATTAGCGATCAACTTCACTGGACAATAAATTCTTTCTTTGTTTTTTGACCATTTCTTGCTAATATCCAGATATCTCACCTTATTTCAAATGCTATGATCTGTTGTAAGTGGTAGATCAGTCAGAAGAGCTACACAGTGAGTGGCACACATCCTCTGGGGACCATGAATGTCTGTACCAAGAATACTGCACATTAGACAAATGTCATCTTCTATTGACCCAGAAAGAAAAACCAGGGCTTTCTTGGAGTCAGCCGGATACACCCTCTGGTGAGTATGAATACCAGATCAAACCCTCTCTTCAGTTTGTGATGTACTTCTGAGGATTTGATGCCAAGACCAAAGCAGTGGACTTACAGGTCTGCTGACATACCCAGTCTTCAGCCTCTTATGTGTAGTTTACAGTCCTCCAATGTGCTGCAACTGAGTAGAGTATACCACAACAGCATCAACCCAAATACTCTAACACCATGTGTTCAGCATGAGGGGACAAATAACCCACATCAGCAGGCCTCTCAACTTACCCACAAGGGGAGGAAGAAAGAAAGGGATTGGG